TCCGAAGCATAAGAGACGAAGTTTGGCCATCTTGACCTCTGGTTGGATTTAAACTTCCAACTTTTTGTGGATTGCCAAGCTCATTAACCATTTGCACCATCCAGGGACTCCTGGGTGCAACCGGTCAGTTATTAAAATACTTCCCTTATCATTGTTGCAGTTGGATGTCATTGCTGTGGCTCTCACTTATAGATGGTGGTGGTGGTCATTGTGTGCCCTTGAGTTGGTTCCAGCTCATAGCAACCCTACATAGGGTTCCTAAGGATCAACCGATCTTGGAGTTAGCTTGTTGTTGCTAAGTGCTGTTGAGTCTATTCCAACCTATACCAACCCTGTATAGGGTTTCCAAGGAGCTGCTGATGAGCTTGAACTACCAACCTTGTGGTTCAAACCAACTTTGCAGTCCAGCATATTAACCCACTGCGTCCCACCAGGACTTCTAACCCTACACCAGGATTCTGAGGGTTTTTACTGGTTGGTAAAAGGCCACAGGAGCTCTGGTAGCATAGTTGTTACAAATCGGGCTACTAACCTCAAGGTCAGCAGTTCGAAACTACCAGCTATTCCTCAGGACAAAGATGAGGCCTTTTGCTCCCGTAAAGATTTACAGCCTCTGAAACCCTGTGTAGGGTCACTATGAGTCGGAACCGACTCCACGGTACTTAACAACAACAAATAACCACAAAGTCCCGTATCGCTCACCAGCATTCATTCAGTTGTTTGGTATTTCAGAAACCCTTCTTAGAGGCAGTTGAGCAGGTTGATCTAGTTAACCACAGGAAGACTGAGCTTCAGAAATGTTATGTAATGATGAGTTAGTAGTGTAACTGGGACCAGGAAAATCTTGCATCCATTCCAACATCTTCATTTTATAGGTGAGGAGACCCTGGGGATTTGAGGAACTTGCCCAAGACCATGTGGTTGGCTGGTGGGGCTCTTGTCTGAGAGCACATGGACCATGAAACTTCAGGATTTCAGAGGAGGCAACTGCTCTCCCTGCCCCCTTTGTGTTTGGAACACTTGAGACAGACGGTGACATTAGTCAGACTCGAGATGGGAAATGCTGAGGCATGCATGGGGAGGTGCCATTTTGCATTTCAATGAGGAGGGACAGGGTCCATCAGTAATGCCACCAGAGGAGAGTATGCAGGCCCCTCCATGGCTCTTCGGTTACTATTAGTGAACTTGACCTTGGAGCAGCCAACCTTTTAATATGCAAACAAGGCCTTTATGGGGCAATGGACAGTCAGCACTCATTAGAGAACTCATAAAAAAACATTCAGTGGAAACCTATGGGGGATGAAAGCTAGGCTTATTCTTCTGCCTACAGCCTGGGCTAGAAACAGTCCAGTGGGGCAGGTTCTAGACCACCACAGGAGGGTTTATCCTACTGGACCTAGGAGTTCCTTGTTGACTGGCCATCCATCCTGGCAACCTACCAACCAGCAGGAACCTGCCTCTTTCATTAAAGGGGGTGGTGGTGATGGCCATGATGTGCTGTGGTGTCAGTTCCAACTCATAGCAACCCTGCATAGGGTTTCCGAGGCTGTAAATCTTTATTTGAGCAGAAAGCCTCATCTTTCTCCTGCGGAATGGCTGGTAGTGTCAGACTGCTGACCTTGAGGTTAGCAGCCTGACTCCTAATACCAGAAATGTTCCTCCTTTTGTTAAAGCGGAGGAGAGGTGATATGGAGGACAGGCTGGTCTCTGAGTTCTTCAGTTGTCAGCGTATTAGCAGACACAAAGCCATGGTTTCTCCTCTCCCGGCTTCAGTTTCTGCCCGATGAAATGGAAAGGGCCTATTGGGTTGGTTTGGAGGACTCAGATTCTAAGCATCCTAGATATGATATTTTGGTGTGGAGGTGGATCAAGAGATCCCAGCCCATCCTGGTTCCTCCTCCAGTTAAGACCACAAGCTCACTCCCTCCTCCAGCTGCAGGGAGGGAAAGTTAGCCTTGTTTGTTGGGTGGAAGCAGAGGTGGGTACAGGATGACAGGCTGCAATTTCATTCAACACTCTCCCTAGTTCTCAGGTTCCCGTTTATCCTGCCGGCTTCATCCCTTCCATAAATTCACCCCTCTCTTCCATGTTGCCTTCACTTTCCCATTGTCTACAAGGGGCTTGACTTTGGCTGAGGTCTCATGGGACGGAGTTGCTAAGATGTCCTCTTGCTGTGGTATCTCAACATCTCCAGAGATCCACACCTTCATTCCCCATGGGTCTCAGTCTAGAGAGGAGGAGGAACGTGAATAGGACCCGAGGTCACAGTCTCCAGTCTTGGTGCTGTACAGTTTCCAGTGACAGGGGACTCTGTTTGGTTCATGTGTACCTGAGGGAGAAGTGGGCTCACAGTTGCTTTAAGGAGATGCAAGAGGGGAACTTGCCAGTTGCCCCTCCCATCTTCCATTCACCCCTCAACCTCCTTTCTGCCTTTCACAGCCCAGAATCAGCTGTGAGCCATGAAGCAGCAGCCTCAGACAGGGTGGATCAACCACGCTTATAATGGCTGACATGCCATTGGCGTGGTGGACCCCATACTGTGCCCTGCCAGGGAGTTTGGGGGTGGTGAGACCTGCCGGGAACAGGAGTGCCAGCCTTGCTGGATGTTACAGAAGGTCTTTCTCCTTCTGGTGTCAGTCAGACCCAGGAGCACTAAGCGTCCCCCTCAGCTTCCACCTCTCCACAGGGCAGAGCCCCCATTCCTTTCTCTAGCCCACCCCATCAACCCTTCCTGGATAGAGCTGACTGTCCCTGAAAGGGGTCAAAGAGCCACTCCCTCCATCCCCAAGGCTCCCCACTGGTTCCAGGGTGAAGTCAACTCCAGCTCCTTGTGGGCACACAGGACAGGCTCGGCTACAGGGCATTTCCTTGGCATTGGGCCATCCCATAACTCAGGCAGAAGCTTCTGGAATACAGAAGGCACATTCCAGAACATTCCTAAATGCCAGACTAGACCCATGACTGGAACCCCTCAGAACAGTGCCTCTGGGTCCTGGGATTTCTCTATGTCATCCCTTCCATCACGGGGTAGGAGGGCATGGGTTACATGGACATGTGTATCTATGCCTGTGTCCACACCTGCATGCACATGTGTGTGTGTCCGTGTGCCCATGTCCACCTGTGTGTGTGTACCTGTGTACCCGTGTGCACCTATGTGCCTGTGTCCACTGTGTGTGTACCTGTGTGCTCATGTGCACCTGTGTACCCATATGCACATATATGTCCATATGCTCCTGTGTGCCCACATATACCTGCATGCATTTGTGCACCTATGTGTCTGTGTGTACTTACCTGTGTGCAGCTGTGTGCCCATGTGCACCTATGTAACTGCATATCCTGTGTGCCCATGTGCACCTTTGTGCCTGCGTATACCTGTGTGCCCATATACACCTGTGTGCCAGCATATACCTGTGTGTTCACGTTCACCTGTGTACCCACTGTATGGCCATGTGCTCCTGTGTGCCCATATATACCTGTGTGCACCTGTGTGCCTGTGTGTACCTACCTGTGTGCCTGTGTATACCTATGTGTCCATGTGCACTTGTATGATCGCATATACCTGTGTGCCCATGTGCACCTGTGTACCCATATGCACCTGCATGCCCACGTGCTCCTGTGTGCCCACATATACTTGTGTGCATGTATGCACCTGTGTGCCTGTGTGTACCTACCTGTGTACACCTGTGCCTGCATATACCTGTATGCCCGTGTGCACCTGTGTGGTTGTGTGCACCTGTGGGCCCACATATATCTGTGTGTGCATATGCAACTGTGTGCTTGCATATACCTGTGTGCCCATGTGCACCTGTATGTCCACTCATACCTGTGTGCCCGTGTGTACCCATATGCCCGCGTATACCTGTGTGCCTGTGTGCACTTACACCTGTGTGCACCTGTGTGCATGTGCATCTGTGCAGTATCCATGGGAAGGATGCATCCCAACAGTGGGTTGGTATTGGAAAGGGTCCCTGTCCCTCTGCCTCCAGCTTCCCTGCTGACTCATGCTCTCACCCCAGGACTGCCCCCAGCTGCTGCGTGTGGACAGGATCCTGGTGCCTGTGGAAGTAATCAAGCCCATCACTCTCAAGGCCAAGAACCTGCCTCAGCCCCAGTCGGGCCAGCGCGGGTACGAGTGTGTTCTCCACATCCAGGGCAGCGAGCAGCGGGTGCCGGCCCTGCGCTTCAATAGCTCCAGCGTGCAGTGTCAGAACACCTCGGTGAGCTGCCCGCTGCCCCACTCGGCCCTGCCTCTCATCCTACAGTACAGTCCCTTAGATTTAACACCCACCCTAATCTGGGGGCGGAGATATTCAACTTAACGAATTCCATCTGCAAAGACCCCATTTCCAAATGAGGCCACATTCTGAGGTTCCAGGTGGGGTGATTTTGGATGGCACAATTCAACAGATGCGAGTCCCACATGGTGTACCCTAAGTGTGTGCCTTTCCTGCTGGCCTTGTTCCTCTCCTTGTCTTGTTCTTCCCTGGCCACCACCCTGGCCTCCATCCTGCTCAGGAGGATGCTCTGAGATGTTCCCGTGAAAGCATTAGACTTAGACACTCAGCATTTTCAAGCTGTAGGAAATTGTAGAGTTCTTTATAGAAGCCTTCGATTAGGGACAGATATCAGTCTGTGGGGTCTAGAGCTTATACAATTTGAAGGGCCTTCATTAAGATCAAGAATGAAATATAGTAAATACAAATTTAGATACAGAGGCTTTGTAAGAGCCTGCACAGGTGAGTTGTTGTTGATATGTTCCGTGGAGTTGGTTCCGGCTCATAGCGACCCTGTACAGGGTTTCTGAGGCTGTAAATCTTTACAGGAGCAGAAAGCCTCATCTT